CGACAACCCACCAATCAGCCAACCAACCCTTCTACTGGAATGACCCAGCCTCGCCCTGGGACGCTGACGACTTGGCCGATGGCTCCGGACCTGTCGACCATGATTCCGAGCCGCCGCAACCACAACCACAATTGCATACCCAATCTCACTCGGTCGAGGCACCATCCACCCCCTTTCACCCTTATCAATTGCGCCGGCGGCGAGCACAGCCCTCGACGTCTCACGCTGAGGATGATCAAGACCAATCATCCAGCCGCCTTTCTCCGCCAAGCCGTCGTGATGACAAACAACCACTCTTTGCTGCGCAGGAGCCATCGGAGCGCTATGACACCAGGGCGAATGATGAGGCTGGCCCATCGGCCGCTGCCCAATCCAGCAGCGCAGCACGGCCCCAAATGCTCGACCACAATATCTACACGGTTGGCTTTAACCACCCACTTCCGTCCCCCTATGCGCCTGAAGTGCAAGAGAGGCAACGAGGGGCCCGCAATCCTACTATGCCGATCCGCCCATTAGCTCATTCGGGCGTAGGAGACGACTTGCATGCACCCTATGGTGCTCACGCAGAAGGCCGCAGTCAACCATTGCCTCATGAACAGCTGCACAATCTACCTGAATGGCCCGTTCCCGAGGACGATGCCAATGCCTGGGCAGCGACCAACGATGATACTTTTCCACCGCCTTTGACTTCTTCGGATGATGACTCGGCTGACAGCAGTGACAATGAAGAGCCGCCTGCCCTTGACTTCCCTGCGGACCCAGCACAAGATGACCTGTTGGACGCTGACGGCATCGATGGCGTTTTGGAAGCCCTAGGGGTACGAGGGCCATTTATCAATCTGTTCCAATATTTTGCATTGATCTTTGCCCTGGTTTCCCTGGTGCTGGGCTTGGCCGTGTGCGTACCGTACATGCTCGGCAAGTTTATACTGGTTCTCAATCCCTTTAAAATCTTGTTGCTTCCGCTGCAGCTACTGCAACTTGCCACAGATCCTGTGATCGAGCTCGTCGTGGACCAGGCATTTCCTACCGCATTCCGTTCTGCGCAAACGTACTGGCAGTCCTGGCAGCAAATGGCTCAGGACTACACGGGCAGCACCGGTTTTACCACGGAGACAACGACCGCATCACCGCCGTCGACCATAGTGACTGCTTGGCTGCACCCCATGGTAGCCATCGGTCAGTCGGCGGTGCAGAGCGTTACAGATGGTACCACAGCACTACTGCACTGGTTATTTGCCTTTTCGTCGTCATCGTCATGGACTAAACCATTGGCTCCTTTGGACCATCGACTGACCCCCGTAGAAACCCCCGCAACAGCATCCATGGTACCGGAGCTATCTCTGACAACACTGCTGCAGCACATCCAGACAGGCTGGGACCACTTGGCGCACGGGCAATCATTGGGCGACCATGCGCTGACCTGTGTGATTGGGTACGGTCTTATCCTTTTGGGTGCGGTGTATATAATGCAGGGTGGGTACGACTTTGCTGGTGAACGAGCCCGCGTCGTCAAGCGCACCGTGTACACCAGCCTGCTGATGCTCAAGGTTGTGGTATTTTTGGTCATAGAGCTGGCATTGTTTCCATTTGTCTGCGGATGGTTGATCGATGCGTCGACGTTGCCCTTGTTTCCGGCCTCCACCACGCTGCAAAGTCGGTTTGCCTTTGCCCAAGAAGCCCCACTAACGTCGGTGTTTTTGCACTGGTTCGCAGGCACGGCGTTTATGTTCCGCTTTGCATTGTTTATGGCCCAGTGCCGGGACATGGTGCGGCCTGGCGTCATGTGGTTTATTCGCGATCCCCACGACCCCAACTTCCACCCCATGAAGGAGATTCTGGAAAAGCCCACCCTGACCCAGTGTCGCAAGATTGGGGTATCACTGATCATGTACGCTGTCATGATAGTCCTGGGACTTGGGGTGGCTATTTACGGCATCGCCTACTGCCCACCTCTATTGCCGGCTGCATCGGTACAACCGGTGTTGCCGCTTAATTGGAAGCTAGCCCAACCGTTATCACCCATTCCTTTTGACCTGCTGGCCCTGTATTTTGTGGTGCCATTTACGCTCCGTCGGATTCGCCTACGGCATATTGCCAAACGGGTCACGCGCCAATGGTGGGCTTTAGCTGCGCGAGGGCTTCGCTTAACTTCGTTTATGTTTGACCGACGGGTTCCCAATGAAGAAGGCTACTTTGAGTACGCCACCTGGGGTGCATGGCTTCGCGGTCGGCGTTTTCCTTTGCCACATTTTACCGTCCATTCAGAAGATGATCAGTGGGATTACCTGCATGATGCCGATCGGCTAGACGCGGTGGTCCAGGCAACTTTAGAACGGCCCGACGTGCGGCAAAGTGGGCTCCAAATTGTGCTCAATTCAGCGGGTAACCAGGTCGAGGTGATCAGGCACCGAGACTACCCTGACGTGGCATTTCATCCCGACGGTGGTTTTTTACGCGTGCCCAACTTTGATGGTATTCCCGTGGTTCCCGACCACCGTCTGCTGGTGCGGGTCAACCGCCAGGGTATTCCTTTGGATCCTACCGAGGACTACCTCGAGCAGCGGTCCGGGTTGCACCCTAGTCTCCAGGACACCAACGGCCGTGCCAAGTTTATCATTGTGTATGCACCGTCTCGGCTACGCCTCCGGTTGCTTCTCTTTGTGGTGTTGCTCTGGGCCAGCCTCGCCACCGCGCTTGGCATGGGCTGCGTGGTGCCTCTGTTGACAGGTCGCGCGCTCCTGACTCGCTTTTTGGTAGTCGTAGGCCACCTTCGATCTCACCCCCTCGTGACCCACTGGATTGCAACGTCGCCCGCAGGCAGCTCGTCCTCTTCGGTTGCTATGGGTTCAGCAGTGGCAAGTTGGTTAGCAGTGGACGACCCCACCCAGCTTCACGACTTGTACTCCTTGGTGCTCGGCTGGTATCTGTGCGGTTTGGCTATCTGGGCTATTTACCACGGCTACCGCAAAGGGAAGCGTTTCTTCCGCAAGCGCCGACTCCGTACAGCTCCCGCCGTGGATGGCTCCGGACGGCCCTATCGCCCATCATGGATTTCCTTGGCACTCCGCGCCTTGGTAAACGGAGTGCAAAACACCTGCTACAAACTGATACGTGCTGGGAGCATTGGGGCCATCCTAGGTATTGTCTTGCCCTTGGCTCTAGGCATTGTTGCCGAGCTGTATGTCGGCTCCCCAACACGTATGGCTGCTGTGTATTCGGTCAAGCACTATGTGGCCCACTCGCAGCTGCCTCAATATTCACACCACGAATCGCTAGCGCTGGATATGGCCACTAATCCGAGCGTCTCACCCTCCTTGCAATCCGACTTTACGCCTGTTCTTGAGGCCCAACCGGCTGCAGTCACAGCAACGCCAGAGTTGGCAGACGCGGCCGACTCTGCAACCTACAAGACTGACTCGACCACGCCCGATTCGGCTCGCACGGCCCGCTTAGCCAAAGTGGCCCAGATTTCCCCCGACCAGGTGGGCCTGACCCTTGATTCGGACTGGTTGGCTCGTGTGCTCAACTTGGCCGAACCGGGCACTATTTTCACTTCCACAGCCACCGAACCATCCCAACCATTGCCGGCCGTGCTTCGTGTGCCCCATGGATGGGTGATCTTTGTGCTACAGTGTTGGGCCCTGGGCTTGGTGGTGGTCAAGCTGGGGCATACGGCCATGCTGGCATTTCCTCAGGCACCTTGGGGAGATGTGTGGCGCCGAGCCTTTCCACCCAATGCACCGCTGCACCAAGCCAACCTGAGCGTGCTGTGCATTTCAATCTTGATGCCAGCCCTTGCGCTGACCACCCTAGCAGTAGGAGCGCCGCCGTTGTTGGCCATTGCTGGGTGCTGGTACTTCTTACCTTGGGCGCTGACCAGTGCCAATGTGCTTGCCTGGTGTTACCCGCTGTGCTTTGCGTTGGCACTGGGTAGTTTCAGCCTTTACACCGGGATTCGTTGGTGGCAAGAGTGGATTGCTGCGGTGCGTCAGGAAGAGTACGTGGTTGGCCAGCGCCTTCATAACCTCGGTGCTTCGCCGCCTTCGCCTACAGTAATAGCAACAGCTGGCTGATGCGCCCAGCTCCACATCAGGCATGGCATTCTTGCCATGGAATGTCGTTATCCCATTTGGCTTTTGTTCTAAGGTCGACATTGCTATGCGCCCCCATGCCATTAATAGGTCTTGATCCTAGCCACCCGTTTCTACCATTTATTTCCTTTTTTGCCTTGATAGTATGTACTCTACAATATATTCCAACTAGCCAATGTGCCGTGCTGGTTACGCCATGGTATTAAAAGGTGCGGCCAAAAATCCAATAAAATTCCTATAAGAACCTTGCCCCATGCTCTAGCTATGTTTTGATACTGCCGATTACTATCATGGCAGCAAAAAATATAGTTTGATATAAAGCGAAAAAAAAGAAGGCAAGAGAGGGGAGTCAAGTTCCTCAGCATGACCAGTGCCGGAAGCACTCTGTTTCTAGCCCTGTGGTTACTAAGCGCTGCTGGGCTTCACCTGCCACATGGGAACGGCAAAATGGCCGCCAAGGGTTTTGATGGGCACAGCTGGTCGATTCCACCGGTAGTGACTGGGAGCATGCTGCCCAGCAACATCAGCGGGTGCTTCCGATTCGCCAGCTGGGCTTTGCGTTGTGGCAGGTAAGTTGCCTGCGCTCACGGCCGGATGGGTTGGGGTAGGCAAAGTGGGTATAGGTGTGTTTGCCTCGGACATGGTGGTGGTGCAACTTGCCAAACATGCAATGATAACGTAAATAGCACAACGAGTGAAAACACACACACACAGGTTGAAAAAACGCGATACGCAAACACAAGCCTGGCACGGTCGCTGTTGACGCAACCGCAAAAAAAGAAAGACAATAGTGAACCTGTAACATCAACACCATGTCCAAAACGCCTGTCGCCAGATAAAGCAAAATAGTTATAAGGGTTTTTGACTATTTGGAGAAATAAAGCTTTGACGCAACCTTGAACATAAGTCAGCGTGGTGTAGTTGGTTATCACATGCGCCTCACACGCGCAAGGTCCCCGGTTCGATCCCGGGCGCTGACATTTTTGATGGCCGTTCATTTTTTTCAGAGATTGTTTTTTTTGCTGGCTGAAAGGACAGCGCAACATGGTGAGCGTGGCAGTTGTATATGCTTTCGGTATTTTGTGCAAAGACTGTATTGACAACAAGAATATGTGTCGCAGGGCCGGTGGGTTGGCCTAAGAAATTAAGAAAGAAAAGAAAGGTAACCAGTACAAGAACACAAGCGTCCACCGTTTTGCCTGC